AAAAATATAAAAAATAAATAAAATAAAATTCGCCGTGTCCCCCGCCGTGTCCGTGTCCCCATTTTTTGAAAATTGTCGTGTCCCGTGTCCGTGTTTGTGTCCGTATCCGTGTCCGTATCCGTGCTTCATAGGTGTTACTTGTATTGATCAGATAACTCATAAGCTGTTCGTGAATTGAGGCCGAAGAAAAATGGCTGAGGCTGTAGTCTCTTTTGCGGTGGAAAGAATTGAGGATTTGCTGATTCACAAAGCAAATTTATTATATGGAGTGCGTAGCCAAGTTCGAGGTATGTTGGCAGAGTTAAGGGGTATGAGGCCCTTTTTAAAAGATGCAGATGCAAGACAAGATGAACACAAGAGCATTAGTAAATTGGTGGTGGAAATAAGAGAAGTTGCTTATAATGCAGAGGATGTGATCGAAACTTTTGTATTTAAATTTGAGCCGAGGGAAAGACGAGGCATCATACACATCCTCAAGAGAAGTGCTCGCATCTTCAGTGAAGGCATAACTTTGTACAAATTAGGTCTCAGATTAAAACTATTCAAAGGCTTAGTGCAAATTTACCCTGCTTGGGTCTAGAAGCTTTGATGGAAATAGACAGTTCAACTTCTCGACACCCAGAGCAGACTTTTTCTCAAGTTGGTGACGAATATTTAGTTGGTATTGAGCGAGACACAGAGATATTAGCAGCGCAATTGGTGAGTGAAGAAGCCGAACACTGTAAGGTTGTTTCAATTTGTGGCATGGGTGGTATTGGGAAGACTACCCTTGCTAGGAAGGTTTACCAACACCCAGATGTTAGGCGCCGTTTTGATGCCTTCGCTTGGGCTTTCATATCTCAACAATGGAAGCTAAACGATGTTTTGCATAACGTCCTAATTCAACTCATTCCAGGGAAGAAGGATGCGATTGTGAATATGGAAAATGATCGGTTAGCCCGCAAACAACTTGATGAAGTCCAACAACAGAAAAAGTGTTTGGTTGTTCTTGATGACGTTTGGTCTTCGGAAGGATTTGATGAGTTGTCAAAAGTTTTTTCTGACGTAAATACGAAAATAATCCTTACTACTCGTAATAAAAAAGTAGCAGGGTCTCAAAGTTTTTTCATCTTCCAGCGAGTCCCTTTAACCACAGCAGAGAGCTGGGAGCTACTTATGAGAAAGGCTTTCCCCAAAACAGCGGCTGAAGGTTAGGTTATCCTGAAACTTCAGACATTTATCAACTAACTCTACAATTCATTACTACATTTGTACTATAATAAGCTATCCTACATTGCTTTTTAAGTAGAATAGAACCATCACCTTTTTATTAGATCTAAATTTTACTCTTATTGTGTCAATTTTAGAGTAATCAATGAATCCTACTTTGAATCATTTAAATGCTAGGTTGTTCTCCTCAAGTGACGCGTTGCGCCTGCCTCTGTGTGTTTCGAAAAGTGAGCAAGGGGTACCGCATCGACGCTTGGGTGCGGTGAAAAGTGGGCAAAGGTTTCCGCATTTTTCTGGACGGGCGCAGGTAAAGTAGCTAATCCAAGACTATAGGTTTAGGATAGCCACTTAGAATATAGGAACCTTAACTGGTAAGACGATGGAATTGGTAGATGTTATGATTAGGAGGAGAGTTAGTATAACTTGCGTACAAGAAACTAAGTGGACGGGTGAGAAAGCTAGGGGAATTGAGGATACCGATTTTAAACTGTATTATAGTGGTAAGGATAGACGCAGGAATGGGGTAGAAATCATAATTGCCAAAGCTCTTGTGCAGAATGTAGTAACGGTCATTAAGAGAGAGGATATGATTATGTTAGTTAAACTAGTTATTGGAGGGAATTTAGTGAACGCTATTAGTGCATACGCCCCTCAAGTAGGATTAGATGATCAGACTAAGAGGAATTTTTAGGAGCAAATGGATGAGATCTTACAGGAGATACCCGCAGGAGAGGTGGGGATTTTAATGGCTATATAGGCATATATAAACTAGGCTATGAAAGGGTGCATGGTGGATACGGTTTTAGTGACAGAAATGAGGCTGGAGAGAGTATCTTAGATTTTGCGTTGGCTTCTAACCTGGTGGTGGCCAATACTATGTGTATAAGAAGAGGGAGGAGCATATGATAACCTTTAAGAGTGGGTCAGTTAAGAGCCAAATAGATTACTTCTTAGTGAGAAAAATGGACCACCTAAAATGCAATGATTGTAAGGTGATTCTTGAAGAGAGCCTGATCTCTCAAGATAGGATTTTGGTACTAGAGTTATGTTTTAGAGGGCAATACCAAGCTAGGAAGGATGGTGGGTGTCGTAAGACAAGATGGTGGGACTTAAAAGGGGATAAACTATAAATATTTAAGAATAGAATGGATAAGGAAGGTACTTGAGACTTAGAAGATGATGCTAACATTATGTGGAACTCGATGGCCAATTGTATGAGGAGAATCTCAAGGGAAGTGCTTGGAGAGTCGAAAGGAACGAGACCCAGCTCTAGGGAAACTTGGTGGTGGAGGGAAGAGGTTCAAGCGGTAGTCAAGGCAAAAAAAGAGTGCTTTAAAAAGTGGCAGAAGGATAGAACTGAGGAAAACCTTAAGAACTATAGATTGGCTAATAAGAAGGTCAAGAAAGTAGTAAGAGATGCTAAGTTGAAAACTTATGATGACCTATACACTAGACTAGATAGTAAGGAGGGAGAGAAGAGGGTTTACAAACTTGCTAAGATACGGGAGAGGAAAACAACAGCTTTTAATCAAGTTAAGTGCATCAAGAGTGAGGATTCTAAGGTATTGGTGAAGGATGAAGAGATTATGGAAAGATGAAAGAACTATTTTGAGAAACTATTAAATGAGAAACATGAAGGTACGGCAATAGAGGAAGAAATAGCCAGTAATACGATAAACTAAGACTATAGGTTCTATCGCAAGATTAAGAACTTTGAAGTGGAGATTTCACTTAAGAAGATGAAATCAAATAAGGTTTTAGGGCCCGATGATATTCCTATTGAAGCTTGGAAGTGTTTGAGTAAAAATGGGGTTGCTTGGTTGACTAGGTTGTTTAGCAAAATTTTGTTGACTAGGAGCATGCCATATGAGTGGAGGAAGAATATTTTAGTACCAATCTATAAGAATAAAGGAGATGTCCAGAATTGCAACAACTATAGAAGAATTAAGCTAATGTGTCATATAATGAAAGTGTGAGAGAGGGTGATGAAACGCTGATTGCGAGATATAACAAATGTGTCAGAGAATCAATTTGGGTTTATGCCTGACAGGTCAACAATGGAAGCGATCTATCTTTTGAGGAGAGTAATAGAAAAGTGTAGAGAAAAGAAAAGAGACATTCATATAATATTTATCGACCTTGAGAAAACATATGATGGAGTGCCCCAGGATATAATATGGTGGGTGTTAGAGAAGAAATGGGTGAAAAAAGGTTACATTAATGTGATTAGGGACATGTATGAAGGGGTGGTGACCACTATTAAATCGCTTGCTGGAGAGACAAATGAATTTTCTATCATTTTAAGGTTACACCAAGGATCTACCTTAAGTCCTTATCTTTTTGCTTTAGTTATGGATGAGTTGACGAGAAATATTCAAGATGACGTGCCATGGTGTATGCTTTTTGCCAACGATATTGTGCAAGTGGATGAGACTAAAGAAGGAGTTAACACAAAGTTAGAGATTTGGAGAAAAACTCTTGAATCTAAAGGATTCCAGATAAGCAGAACTAAGACAGAGTGCATGGAGTGTAAATTTAGTAACAGAAACAATAAAAGCAGAGGAAAAGTGAAGATTGAGAACCAAGAACTGCCTAAGAGTGAACATTTTCGTTATTTAGGGTCGATTATCACAACAATGGGGGAGATTGATGCAGATGTGGCCCATAGTATTAATGCTTGATGGTGTAAGTGAAGAAGTGCGTTTGGGGTACTGTGCGATAAACAAATATCCACTAGACTAAAAGGTAAGTTCTATAGAATGGCTATTAGACTAACGATGTTGTATGAGACAGAGTGTTGGGCAACCAAGAAACAACATGTAGATAAGATGAGTGTGGCTGAGATGAGGATACTAAGGTAGATGTGTGGTAAGACTAGACAAGACAGAATTAGGAATGAGTGTATTTGGAAATGGGTAGGAGTAGTACTGATAGAAGATAAGTTGAGAGAGAATCGATTGAGATGGTCATATTCAACGGAGACCAACAGAAGCAGTAGTGAAGAGATGCGATACTATAACGATAGGTGGAAAGTGTTAGGGGACGGGGTAGGCCTAGATTAACGTTGGCTAGCATTATAAATAGAGATATTGATCTATTTAATTTAACTAACGAAATGGCCTTTGATAGGGCCGTGTAGAGAAGAAGTATTCATCTAGCCAACCCCATTTGATGGGACTTAAGGCTTGGTTTGGTTGGTTGGTTGGTTGGTTGGTTGTGTCAATTTTAGAGTAATGATATTCACTTTCTAGTTTTAGTCGTCTCTCACTTTCTTTTCTTTTGAGAGATTAAGGGTTTGTTTGGAAATTGACTTTTTAATAATGATTTTTGGCTTTTTACATAAAGACATAAAAATAAAAATAAAAAATAGAGAGAATGGTTTGACAACTTGTAGTTTCCTTTTAGTTTTTTTAGCTAAAATGTTTGGTCCCCAAACATAACCAAACAGTTTAAAAAATAGAGGGGGTAGGACTTAAAATGGAACATGAATTCCATTACTCATTTTATCTTCGGTAAAATGCATCAATCACAATTTTTATTTTTTTAATTCAATGGTTAAGACTTGGCCTAATAATTTTAAGGTTATGGGTTCAAGTCTTGGGGCCCACCACTTTGTACATTATGCCAAAGGTTAGGTGTGTACTCAATCTTTCCCTTTCCAAACACACATTAATGTGTACTAATTGAGCGTTATTTATTTTTAAAAAAATTTAGAACGAAACAAACTCTTTAATTTTATCAAAGATGTGGTAAATTCTTGAAAATAATGAATACACATCTATGTTGATAAATTTTATCTTTTACAATTGCTAAAAGTTTTCATCTATTTTAGATTTTTCAATTTGTCATTTAAATAAATATGTTATTAAGTTTTAACCCTCATTTCCGACAATCTCTGAGGAAAAGCAAAATCATAACTCTCATATGACAGGTCTTTGGTGGTGTAAAACATTTTGCAAACTATTTAGATTGCATAAGCCAAACTACCACACTTCGTTAATCCAACTAACAATGGGGTCTTCTATGCATTTATAAATATGCACTTTGTTTCATTGCAGACTTCGAAGACTATCCAAGGATGGAGAGATTAGGAAGGCAAATGGTTCAAGAATGCGGCGGCTTGCCGCTATTCATTATAGAACTCGGAGGACGTCTGCGAACAAAGAAGACCTTGAATGAGTGGATGACAATTTATCGAAATTATCAAATGATTGGTGGATCTGATAATACTGCATTGGATGTGTTAGCTCTAAGTTACCTAGATTTATCATATAAGCTAAAGACATGTTTCCTTTATCTGGGCATTTATGCGAAGGATCATGACATAGAAGTAGACATACTATATCAATTGTGGATGGCTGAAGGCATCATATCCCGTGAGGACAGAGGAGAAGAAGAAACAATGATGGATGTTGCAGAACGTTATTTGGGTGAATTAGCAGAGAGGTCTTTGGTAACAGTGGAATTTAAGGAGAAGGTTGAGTATTCAACAATTACAGAAAGCAAAAGGTTTAAAAGTTGTCGACTTCATGGCCTCATGCTAGATTTATGTATGTATAAAATACAGGAGGAAAACTTTTTTAAAACCATTGATTATAGGGGCATAAATAATCAAGAAGTGCATCCATCTTTTTCATCCTTAGCAACATCAACTGATGGTAGAAATAGCAATAAAATACGCAGACTTGCTATCTATCTAGATGAGAATAGTGACCTTCCCCTCTTCAACTTCAAACAAGAAGAAATAGCTCGACCTATTCGGGCAATTTTATTCTTCATCTGTAGCTACATTAACTATCCATTTGGAGAACAATTGATCCATTTGTGCAAAAATTCCAAATGTCTCAGAGTGATACATTTCCATGGAAAAGAATCAGGTGACTTTACTGATGGAAAACCAAAAGAGTTACCAAAAGAAATAGGAAACCTAGTCTTTTTGCGGTATTTGGGTTTAAAAGATACTGGATTCACAAAGTTGCCATCATCAATAGGCAACCTGAAATACTTGCAAACCCTTGATTTACGGACCACAGATGAGATCAGTGTGCCGAATGTGCTATGGAAGATGGAAAGTTTGGTACATCTTTATCTTCCTTATTACCATCTATTTTCTACAGAAGGCAAACTAAGAGTGGATGGCTTGAGCAACCTGGAGACGCTAGAAAACTTTGCCCCTGATAAGGTTGATGTTAAAGGTCTCTTTGAATTAACCAACCTCCGAAGGCTAGGAGAAGTGCGCATACAAGGAAAACAAAAGAACTTGCCAGAGGTCGTCAACTACCTCCTTAATAGCAAGAAACTACAACACACTTCCGTTTTTATGGATCAATGTGATTTTTGTTCAGATGAAGAACTACTCCTTCTGAGACAACTATTTAGTTGTAAATGCCTTGTTGGATTGACAATAATTGGGATTATAGATAAACTACCAGAATACAACAGCAATTGTTATCAAAGCCTTGCCAGTTTGACCCTGTCCGGTTCACAACTTAAGGGAGATCCAATGGCAACACTGGAGAAGATGCCTAACTTAAGGATTCTCATCTTAGTTGATGCATTTGCAGGAAAGGATAATTTGGTTTTCTCGGCCAATGGTTTTCGTCAGCTCGAGCGTCTGGGACTCCATTCTCTGGAAATTGGGGAATGGATGATGGAAGAAGGAGCCATGCCTACTCTTTCTTTTCTAAGCATTGGATCTTGCAATAATTTGAAGATGCTTCCAGATGGATTGAGATTCATCACTACCCTCCAGGAATTGGATATTACGGAGATGCCTGAAGCATTCAAAGACTGTCTTCGAATGGTTAACGACAAAGGAGAGGGTCTTCACAAATTTCATATCCCTTCAGTTCGTTTTTCTTAGGTAAATTATCCCCTTTTGGTTGAATTCAAGAAGAAACGGTAAGTATTTTAATATGCCACAATCTCATGACTATGATCTTCGATACTAATAAGCACACAAATTTTAATGCTTTTACATGGTATCTCTGGCTTGAATTACGTAATAAATTTGGGAACCAAAATTTATTATTATAAAACAATTCTTGCTGGAGTGAGATAGCCTGGTGGTGTTGGGATCTTGACTTGCCGCCCATCCCTCTGGGAAAATAGATAATTGGAATTAGAATTGGAAAGGAAACTTGCCCCTATTAAGGGATATTGAATAACTATAACACATCAGTATTCTCATGCTTTTATTCATCAGTAGTACTGTCATATTCCTATTCATTATGTTTCTTATATGTTTATATATGCTCAAATCAATTTCAGAAGAAAATTTGAAATGCGAGACATGGTTTGGCAGCTTAAGTTAAGTGAAAGTTCAAGTAGGATGAAATCAAGAATTCATTTTGCCACATTGCATATCAAATTGGTTAAAATCAATGTAGCTTCTGTAGACTGATATGATTTGAATCCTTCTTCTTCTTCTTTTTTTTTTTTTGGTGAAAGTTTGACCGAAAATGAATATGATTAGGCTTAATCAAAATCCAAATCAGGAAATTTTGTTTACCAATTTTCTAATTTGTTGCAGGATGATTATAGGGTCTTAGTGCCTTGTAATGAATAACGCTGCTTATCCCTCTTATTTTGTTGGTCTAATACTCATGTCTGTGGTTTAGCAGGTATCTTAGAAGGGGCTTTGAAGCTGTCCAGGCTGTGTGCATGTCGACATATGCTTGTAGATGGTTTACATGTCGACATATATATATAGTTCTACTTAATTTGGTACAGCTTGTTTGGTCAGAGACTTATATGGACTGTTATTTGTTTGGTTCATTGGAAGACATTAAATATGTGATTTTTGCATGTTAAGTTTTCACTTTACTGTTACTAAAGACTTGGTTGGCTGTTCATACAGCTCATGTTCTAGCTAATAAGATCAGCTAGTTCTGGTATGTACTTATTCAGTTTTATATATTTATATGTGAACTATTTTGTTTTTTCTTTTTCTTCAAGAAAACGAAGCAGCCTTCAAAGTGCGACTCATTTTGAAAAAACTACAATGAGAAAAGAAAGAACCAGCATGAGTTCAAAAAAAAAAAAAAAAAAAAAAAAAAAAATCTTTGTCAATGGATATTGCATAAGAAAATATGCAATTCAAACTATCTATATCAGAAAATATACAATTGACAGAGCATAGCCAAGCACACTACTGTTTTATTAAATTGCCAACAATCCATATCATTAAATAACTAATTGCTAGCTAGTTATGTATTCCAGAGTATTTTTAACATTTATTCTCTTCTTCAACAAGTGAAGAAAGCAAAAAAAACAACTATAAATGTTAAAAATTTTAATCAGCCTTTTCTGATAGCGGTCATGAGGGATGCAATGTCTTTGCTGCGCTTTTGGAAATAAACAACTATCTTATCTCTGGGAGGTAACTTGTCCTTGATCACTGGGTGGTTGAGAAAATTGTTCATCCAAGCAGTGGTGTTTGGGAATTGGATTTGGTCTACAATTTTCATGGACTCAACTACTTCCCAAACAGGAATTTGAAAGCCAAGGGTTTAAAAAAAAATGTCAACGGATATGAAGTAAAAAACCATTTGTCGAAATTCTTTTTTCCAGGAATTTGAAAGTTTATTTTCATGTTTGAAGATACAAGTCAAAATGTAAATGAAGCTTCAAGTTTCAAATTATCTGCCATAGCTAGTCATAATTATCTGAAAATAAACTGATGAGGTTAGAATACACATTGTTGGTGGGGAATGGTATGTTTCTTGTAAAAGGATTATTGAGTTTTTATTTTTTTATTTTCTGTGAGTATAAAAAAATAACAAAACCAAAATGAATGTGACCTTAGAGCAAAGCAATAGTTCTTTGGTTGAGAAAATTGTTCATCCAAGCAGTGGTGTTTGGGAATTGGATTTGGTCTACAATTTTCATGGACTCAACTACTTCCCAAACAGGAATTTGAAAGCCAAGGGTTTAAAAAAAAATGTCAATGGATATGAAGTAAAAAGCCATTTGTCGAAATTCTTTATTCCAGGAATTTGAAAGTTTATTTTCATGTTTGAAGATACAAGTCAAAATGTAAATGAAGCTTCAAGTTTCAAATTATCTGCCATAGCTAGTCATAATTATCTGAAAATAAACTGATGAGGTTAGAATACACATTGTTGGTGGGGAATGGTATGTTTCTTGTAAAAGGATTATTGAGTTTTTATTTTTTTATTTTCTGTGAGTATAAAAAAATAACAAACCAAAAATGAATGTGACCTTAGAGCAAAGCAATAGTTCTTTATGAATGTGTACACAGTGCTAAGGCTGGCTGGGTTGGAAAGGGGAAAAAAGGGATTTCCAAATGACATCGTTTTTAGGTTTATGGGCAAATTCAATATCAGAAAATCATGGGTTGGTAGTAAATTTCCTACGCTCCACCGCTAGCACAATTCTCAATCTTTTCCTATTGATTTGTAACATAGAATTGTTGTTCTCACTGAAGTAATTTCCCCTTCAATTTATGCATAATTCAAAATTAGTTTATCAACCTCGGTTCCATCATCCAAGAAACAAATAAAAAAATATTTTTTTTATTATTATTTTTTATTTAAGTTCAAGTGTAAAATCTGGCCTCACACAAGTGACGAATGGAGTTTTGGCAAATAATTCTATTTTCACACATCAATTTCTGTTAGTTCACACACTCAATGAAATTTTTTCTTAATACAATTTTGTTCTAGAATCAAAATATCACAATAACCTTATATTCTTTCACCCAAATCCTAATTAAAACACCACAACCATCTTCTATTACCAACGCCACCTCTTTCCTCCACCATCCCCTTCCGTCACTTCTTTTCTCATCTACATGCCACCATTTTCCACCATGAACTATGCAGCCTCACAAGTCTCCTGTCACAAACCACTCACTTTTAAGATTAACGGTTGAGCTCTAAGATGCAAGGGGATGAGTTGGGAGTAACCGTGGTGATAGCACTGGATGGTTGAGAGTGGTGAAAATAGCGGCGAATGAGGGAATGGTGGGTGGGTGGGTGGAATCAAAATTAAGGCTTTGAAAATTGAAGATGATGTTATTGAAATAAAGAGATGTACATTGATTTTTTTTGTTTTTGTTTTTTGATGTGTGTATTGAAAAGGTAATCATTAAGTATGTGCATTGAGAAAACTTACTGCATGGAAATAGAATTATCCAATTTTGACTCATGAGTTTAATTTGGAAAAGCATTTGTTGACCATGTGTTTTTTATTAGAAAAATATTATTTACTAATATAATATAATTAATAAAATGATTAAGAGATTTACGATAAATAAAATATGAAAGTAAGTAAACCCACAAAGAGTAAGAAAGAGTTGGCCTATGATATTGAGAGGCGTATAGTCACTGCCTTAAAACCATCACGTGAAGGTACAAACGGAGTGCAACAGCTCCAAGATACAACCTAAGCGCTTACAGCCTTCCTCATCCAATATTTTTATCCATCAAGAGGATATGAATGATTCACAAATCATAGTTGCCCAGAAATACATAAAATAGATAAAGTACTCTCATGTTAAAACTCAATATCTCATATACATATGTTTTCTTGTGATTGTTATGTATCCTCTATCTTTAGAAAACATAGGAATATTTATATGTGAAAATCTTATAAGAATTAATACATAACATTTAATCATTACATAATTATAATAATAAAACTTAATAATATCTTTGTAACCGAAATATTTAAAACCAATATTAATGTTAATAACGGTTAAACAAATTAAATAGAAATAATTAATTTTATTTTTATTAAAATTCCAACATTTTTTCCCTCATTTTTTTCCCTCACTTATTGAATCTCTTTCATTTCTTCTTTGTTTAGTTTTTTCTTATTTAAATTTCTTTTTTCTAGCATTTATTTATTTCGTACAGAAAGAGTAATAGTGATGAATGACGGACCATTCTTGTGTCAGCTTTTTTTTCTTTTTTTTTTTCTTCTTATCAAATGCATGTCTTTGAATTAGATTTTCAAAAGACGGTGTGATCAAAACAAGTCAAGCATAATTGTGTCATTTTCCATCAATTATTCTTTAGTTATATAAATTAAGGGTGCTCGCAAATTGAGTTGGGTCAGTTGGCCTCTTATCCGCTATCCGTCCGAACTTAAGCGGATTGGCAAAAATTAATTCGCATCTGCCCACATAGTTAGCAGATGAGGATTGAGCGGGCTGTGCCAGTTGGATGGTGAACATGGATTGGTTTGGCGGCTTGGGTTTTACTGTTAATTGTTTACATTTTACACCCAAATTTTTTTATTGTTCATTTTTTATAATACAAATAAAGGCTTAGCTTTTATATTTCATAAATAGCAAATATAAAGTAATTTTTTTAACACACAAAGCATAATTTCATTTTCTTAGGAGTGTTAGTGGATTGGGTTGGATCGGGTGACCTCTCATCCGCCATCCATTCAAACTTAGACGGATTGAGAAAAATGCATCCGCATCCATCCACTTGGACCATTGAAACCATCCATTTTGTAGCTGTTTGATTTGGGCCATTGGATTTTAACGAATCAGATGGATGCTTACCCACCCTTAATATGAACAGAAAAAAATAATGTCAGTTTTTTCCCACAAAAATAATGTAATTTTTTTTCCGTTGCTGCGGCTATTGCAATGTTGAAACTTTATCCATGTGCTCTACATCAAGCAAGCAATGGGAAGCATCAAACGGTGGACCTTTGTTGTCCTTTCTTAGCCATTCCTGGGTTTTTCACCCCTTGTTCATGGTGGCAGCCTTTGGATTTAACATTTGAGGAAGGTAAAGGTAAAGGAAATAAAAAATGTGATAAAAATATAACATACATTTCATTGATTTTTCTTTTTTCATTTTTTTTTCTCTATAAATCCCTTTTGAAATGTTAATCTAAACATAACCTAAAAGGCAACAAGTTTGTGGCTATTCCCTAATGTGTATTGTGGTCAAATTCCTTCTATTGCTTCATCTCAAGTTGCACTCAAAATGGAGAGATTCTTTTATGAATGGCGAATGAGTTCAAGAAGCCATTAAGTAGTGCATATAAACTCTTGTTTCAGGTAATATGATATCTGAGAACATATCAGGAAAGTTTGCATTTTAGAAAACTTAAATATTCTATTACTGTGAGACCCAATTAATCTTTTCACATGGATTGTTGAAGAGATCCAACGAAGAGATGAGTTTGACCCCTGTAGATCTACAAGGATGAACATAGTCGGTGCCATCCAACCGGGGTTACCAACCGAGAACACTCCGATGATAAAGTTAGTCACTAGACTTAAAGAGAGAAGATGAAGAAATGAAGTGTGTGTGTGTGTGCTATCTGGTGCAAAGAGATGAGGCATACTTATATTCATGGGGTGCCCTCCTTTTATAGATGGGGTGTGATATTTGTCTCATGGGCTTCCTTGTTTGGGTTGGGCCCCTTGTTTGGGTTTGTCCAATAAGCTAATATATATTTTTTCTGGCTCCCACAATTGCTCCAAACTTTCATTGTCTGCTTTAAAAGGAATGAGAGTTTCTTGTCAAGTTACCCTGTTCAACTAGATGTTAGGTTTCATGATAAAGACATTTTGAATAAATGAATAAAAATGAATGAATGAATGACTGTATAAATGCATGTATGCCTGAATGTATGCACAAATGTATGTATAACTATGTGTCTTGCTCCGAATTTGGAGGCTTTTGCTGTTGGCTCTCTGTGTCGAGCACAAAGAGCGTTCCAAATTCGGAGGCTTTTGCGATGGCCAATCGTGCTGAGCACAAAGGGCGCTTTGAATTCAGAGGCTTTTTCGATGGCCAATCGTGCTGAGCACGAAGGGCACTCCAAATTCAGAGGCTTTTTCGATGGCCAATCGTGCCGAGCACAAAGGGTGCTTCAAATTCAGAGGCTTTTGTTGATGGCAAGTGGCGATCAATTTTAGACTTTGCAAGGATTTTGAATAGTACATCCC